ACCTTGAGCTGTCCTTCTGCCTCGGCCTCCCAGAATGCTAGGATTACAGGTGTGAGCCACCACGCCCGGCCTTGACATTCGTCTTTAATGTTTTAGTAGCAGACCTAATTTTTAAATGAAAATTTATTTGGAACCCAGGTAAACCAGAGTTTTAGAGCTGAGGAAGAGGCTCTGAGAGTTTTCAGAACAGTATTTCAAAGTTTTCATCATGGAAGCTTTTTAATACAAGATACTCTTTTAGGACATTAGTGCTGATAATGTGGATGGGAGATAGGAGGGACAAAAGGCAGGTAGACCAGTTCAGAGACGGTTGCAGTAGGCTGGGTGTGAAATGATGAGGGCTTGGCTTAGAGCAGTGATGTGGGATTGATGGGTAAGTGTTCTTAAAAATATTAAGACATGATGACTAATGAAAGGGCACAGGGAGGAAGACATAGGTAAGAGTGATGTAAGTAAGTTTTGAAACTGGATGAGTTGTGGAATACTGGTATTTCTGACAGAGACTCTGGGAATCTCTCAGCATATAGGTTAATTTCCAGCTTGGGTTCCCAAAGTTCATTTTCAGGTATGTTGTTTGGAATTGGAATTGTGATACTGTAGAAACAATGTAATACACGAAGGCTAAATTTCCAGACTCGCCTTCAAAGGTAATGATCACAGTGATGATGTTAAGTTCATTTCTGAATTTTGGATGTTGGGTGTTAACTTCTACAATTTAGAAGAGAAGAGGAGGAGATGGGAGACATAGGCAAAATCCTGAAAGAAGTCAAGAAGTTTGTCTTCGGTCTCCTTCTGCCTTCTTTCTGCTACCTTCTCTCAGGTGCTTGGTGCTCTCAGGTTATCGTAAATTCCCACTGTGGGATTATTGGAAAACACAGAGTGACCTCCCTCCTCAGAGGTAGTACAGAGCAGCCCACAGACTGCTTTTGGTTGAAAAATGTGTTTTGTTCACACAGTGTTTTACAACATTTTTAAACATTTACAAATCAGAAGACTTCATAAAAGTCTGAATTTCTGGCTTATTTTAAAGACCGTTATCTGGATCAGATTTCAAATGGGGCAAGCACTCTCCGTTGGCAACAATGCCTACCACTCCTTTTCATGCTGCTAAGGCTAAGTGTCAGTTGCCATTATTGCTGGGCTTACACCTTTTCCCTTTAGTTAAGGAGAGAGTGAACTATTTCTCACACCCTGTTGAGAGGGGCCTCTGTTTCACGAAATGTCTAACAACATGCAAATAACATCTGTTTTCTCTGCCAGGACCCTGAGGCACCAGCGTTGTGACACTGTCACTCCTCTCTCCCCCATAACAATTAGGCCCTTTAATGGTGATAAATGGGGCCCAAAAGTTTAGTCATGGACAGCGTGGGAGCCATTTATTTAGAATTAATGAAATGACTGGAACTGGCTTGCACAGCTGGCTGGCAGGAGTCTCTGGAGTGCAACTGAGTGATCTAAATCCATTCTGGTCCCTAATGGTGGTTGTTGCAGATCCTGGTTTAAATATCCATGGGGAGAATTCTGGGTCCTCTCTGGTTGTTTCCATTTTTGTTGTTTTGTTGGCACAGACTGGCGAGATAGGGCTGGCAGAATACTGGGAACTTGTAGAGACTCACGTTTCACCTCCCTATTGCTTCCTGAGGCAGGGCTGCCTGCCAGTTTATTCTCCATTTTAAACCAAGGGAAGCACCTTTCCGGTATCACCCACTGCTGTGTGGCTTTCTGCTGGAAGGGGATTTGCTTTGAACTTCTCAATGACTGACTTGGACTTGCAAAGCTCATTTGGACTTAGAGGAGAGCCCAGGGAGGTTGCTAGCAAAGCACAGCCTGTGTTCTCGGTTTCATAGGTATCTATTTAATGATGGGCGATGTGTTCTAACACTCCTAAAACTTCTGTGGGGCAGAAATGGACCATAGTTGATATCTGATCATAAGTCTGCTTTTGGGGCAGGTTTGTTACCAAAAAGTTGGTCACTTGTCCACAAGGTCTAATCGGAAGAACGAGGACAAGGGGTTTGGGGAGGAAGGAAAGAAAGTTTACTTTGTAAAGGAGCAAAAATGGTAGACCTCCTCTCAAAATCCCAAATTTCCTGAACATAGGCAAAAATACAGAGCTTTTAGCTTCAGGCAATTACTGTGGTTAACTATTCTAATCCTCCCATCTCTGCCAAAGACAAAGTCTGTGAACTCTGCCAGCTGCCCACCTGGGGGGCTGGTGCCACCTGGGAGGTTTAACAAAAGACTTAACCTGCCTTAGGGATGCAGGGCAGGCTGCAGTTCCCACAAAGAGTGGGAGAAGTTTTAAAGACAGAAAATCTTCCGCCTTTTTTTTTTTTTTCCAGGCCATTTCCTCTGTTAACAGGTTGAGAGGGCATGTGCCATGTTATTCTCTAGAAACAGATGAAGGAGCTCAGGAAATTTCACCCCAAAATGTGACTCCATGGTATATAGAGTATTTTGAATTGCAGGCCCCTCGAGATCAACAAAGAATTGGAGGGGGCTTTCCTTCTATCTACAAAACATAAAAAGATAAAAAATAAGGGGACAGTGGACTTCCCTTTCTCTCCCTGTTATCTCAACGTATTGCCAGAAAGAAGATCAAGAATGCAACCAGCCTGGCACACATCTTTTAAAATATAATATCTGTTTCAGGTTAATTTACAAGTCAATCTGTTTCCCTCATCTATTCCTTCTTCCAAGTATCCATCCATCCTCCCTAGCAATTGCTTATTGCCCCTGAACAGAATTACCTGTGCTCCTCATTTTCCCCCTCCCCTCTAAAAGGTGTGTGTAAATTGGATATTCACTCTGTGATTCTCCCCATGCACATGGTAAATAAACCTTTCTCTGATTAACCTGCCTTAATTGTGAGTTGATCTTTCAGTGAACTTTCTGGGGAAAGGGAACGTTTCCCCTCACCCCTACACAGAAGACTGCTAAATGTAGGGTAGTTCTTACAAGGATTCCAGAAATACACGATACTCTCTTCCCTTGTTCTTGCATTTTATTGAACTTTAGAAGAGCAAACATCTTACTGTGACTTAAATAAAGGTTGTCATCAGTTGTCACAGATTAATCCCATTGGTTTTCTCTGGAGAAAGGGGATAAAGTCATCAATAACCTGGTGAGTGTTTGGAGGCCTTTAACAGGTGTTTGATCAAGGGTGCTTCAGAGCAATTACCCAGACGGTTAGGCCAGTCTGCAGTAATCAATCTGCAGTCTGTCCGTTCAGACTAGATCTGAACTCTTCTGACTTTTGAATGCACAGTATTTCCCAGACCGTTGAATTGGTTGGCAGGGGTGGATGAAGCAGACTTGGCATTTAGTTGTATTGTTTTTGTCTGCCAGAGCTGCCTGTAGTTAAGATACAACTTACATGATAATAAAGTTCTTTATTGAGTGTTTACATAAAACTATTCAGTATCCTTACATTTCTTTTATAGTTCTTGGCTAGCAATTACTAATGTGCCCTAATTTCTTGGCCTTTAATGTTTTGCATAGTAACACATACTTACAATATTAAATTGCATTAGATCATGAAAAACTTGTTTACTTGTCTGATTAGCAAAACAAAGATATGTGGCTTTCATGTAGTTTGAAAAAATGCCTCTAGGAAAGTACAGGTAATATTATCCAGTATTTAAGAATATTTTTCATCTGGCTTTTTAAAAGTAATGAAATGACTTCATTTAGAGGTTTGCTTTTCTCCTTGAGTTTTAGAAATGGATGTTTTATAACTGTTTTTGTTGTTTTCAGGCTTGATCTTACAAATAACGAATATGAAACACTTTTCAAATCTATTAACGGGTAAGTTGGCAGCCTTGGTTTGATACAGTGTTATCAGTATACATATATATATATCTGCTTTTGCAAAAAATGAAATGTAAATGTTATACATGTTTCTATGTAACTGTCTTAGAGTGGTATAACAGTTTTCTGAGTTCTTTTATAGAAAATATTTTGTTGGGAGATGCAAAAGTCTTACAAAGAAGAGGAAGCTGGTTAGGAAATATATAATTGTTACACAGTAGAGACATATAATTTTTTTAATGTGTGATATGATCTTTGTTCTTGTAATGTTTGTCTTAAATGTTTTGAAGCCACTTTGAATGGCATGGCATACTCCTTGTGCAGGAGACTTATAAGTCCCAAGTCTGAGGGTATTGATGGTTATCTTTCAGAGGTAATTTGAATAGAACTTGTAAAAAATTTTTCTGTCCTATGTCTTCACTACAGAAGATACGATCGATTAGCTCACAGAAAAAGACTTAATCATATGAAAAGATGTTTAACATTACTCTTAATTTAGCGAAGGAAAGCTAATTATAGCAATTAAAAACTATTTTAACTATGAAGTTGGCAAAGACCAGAAAATGTGCTAATACCCTATGGCTAATACCCTATGAGGAAACAGGTATCCTCATACTTTATTAGTGGAAATGTAAATTATATAGTCTTTTGGGGGACAGTTTTGCAATATCTATTGAAATTAGAAATACATATACCCTTTGACCTAGGAGTAGGAATTTTATTTTGTAATAATATTCTCCTACTTGGGGAAAGACTTAGGCTTAAACATGTGCATTATAGTATTGTCTGACAGACTCCCAATTTAGAAGTTGCCAAACAGTCCATAAGTTGTGAATTGGTTAAATAAGATAGACTATATATACATTTAATGGAACACTATGCAAGGACTAAAAAATGAGGATACCTATCGATGCTTTGGATCACTATTGTCATGTGAATAGTGTGATAACTGTCATGTGAAAAAGGCAAGACAATGGTGGTGTGTATGGTATACTCCCCATTTGCTTTTGTTTTTAAGATAGTGGTGAGGATATAGGCGTAGCATATTTCTACCAAATCAACACAACACATTTTAATGGTAGTTGTTTCTAATTGGGAATAGGGTGGGAGGGAGTCTTTTTTTTTTTTACTGTAAATCTTTTTTTAAAAAAGCTTTGTTATTATTTTTACTTTTAAAAACCATATTTATTTATTGCTTTTTTTTAAAGCTATGTTCAAAAAAATTACTTGCCTTCAGTTCAGTTTGGGTTAGTAAATATTTACCGTAAAATCCATTCAATTTAGTAAAACATTTACAATGCCTGGTATGGGCTGTGTGCAAGGTACTTTGGAACAGACTAAAATAAATAAGTCCAGGCTAGAATATAATGGTAGAGCCTCAAAAATAGACTTTTTGAATCACTTCATCCATTTCCACCCTCTCCCCAACTACATTCCTATTTGGAAAGGAATCTGAAATAGTAGCAGTCCAGGCAGGAATAAATACTTTGGGGTGTAGCTTGTCCAGGTGCTCATTGTGTCTCCATGGAAACCAGCAATGGTTCTTACATTAACAAGGGAGTCCATTTTGTATCCCCCTACCCCATTTCCTGCGTTGCTACCAGCTCTCTCTCTGTAAGGCCCACCCTTTCCTCCCTAGCACTGGCATGGAAAGCAGGGCTCCTAAGTGGGGTCAGCCCAGTGGCCTTATTTACTAACTGTTTCTGAGTGTCACCAGAAAATGAGTGTTACTCTGAGGGCAACTTCAAAAACACCTAATGGAGGCTCTGTTATTCAGTAGACCCATACTGTTTTGTAGGGGAATACAGAGTTGAAAAGACAGCCTTGCCAAAGGAGTTTGGCATCTAGGAAGGACAGTCAAGTTTTACTGTATGAAAGGACTTTGGGATTAGACATAACAAATTTGGACAGAGTACCTTTTGAAATACTGAGTTAATGAAAAGAGAGAACTGCTAATGAGTCTTCACAAAGCCAGTTTCAATTGTAGGGTTTCTGCATGGGTTTGTGGCAGATGTTCCATCACACAGGTATTTATATGTTTCCTACTGGACTGTGATCTTTCTAACTGCAAAAACCACTCATCTTTGTCTCTCTAGGCAAGTGCTGAGCCTGGCTCATGGAAGAAGCAGAATATATTTCTTAAATGAACAATAGTCTCAAAAGTGATATTTCGCGTATCTCAAATTCATATTTAAATATTTTCAAAATTTTAATGTTTAATCCAACTTTTGTAACCTCTTTTAAATATCCTTAGTTTTTTCAAGACCTGTTATAACATTTTAAGTTGAAAGGTAATTTAAAAAGTTGGTTTAAAAACACAGTAAATTTTTTTCTATATTTCACTATTATGAGTGTACAAAATAAATTCAAATATGTGTGACTGCCTCCTTTTTTTCCTGGACTTTTTCTGGAATTATAATCGTGTTCTTTTAAAAAAATTTCTAATACTGTGCTTATTTCTGAAGAGATCTCAGGGTGATAATCAATAATTAAATACTTATGGATATTTAATTCTAGCCTAAATATATGTTTATGACTGGTTTGTTTTTTATAGTTAAAAAAAATTATTGGTGAGCTAAAACCTACTCACAATTATGGACCTGCAATTAATTTGGCATCGCTGATCACCTTAATTTAAACCTAGAAATACATGGAATTTTGTCTCTATTTGATTTCTAGCTCTTTGTGCTCTTGTCCTTCTCTCACTTATTTACCTGTAATTTGTCCACATCCTATTTCATTAAATAACTTTGTTTATTGAAGAAGTTTTGGAAGAACATGCACTAAAGTGTTGTTATCTGTAGTAGTTTCTGAAAGGCTGAGATTGTAAATATATATTTTTTTGGCCTTAGTTTTCTAATTTTCTTTAATGATCTTACTGCTTATGTAATAAGGAGAAAATTGTTTTAAAATAAAAAGATTGTTTATTTTCTGTGTTTGTGTGTGGGGGGCAAAATACACCTTATTCGATGTTGTTTCAGAGTCCTTTTCCCTGGAGGAAGTGTTGACCTCAAGCGCTCAGATTATGCCAGAGTGGCCAAAATATTTTACAAATTGGCCATACAGGTAAATATCAGTTATTGCTTATTACTCCAAATGGGGTTTTGTAAATTTCTGTGAGGATAATTCCTTTTCTAAGCATATGATGATGCTTCCTTCACAATGACTCCTTCAACCTCATCTCCCCTTTAGCCTTTGATGCCTTTGTTCTTGAACAGCCAGTGGCTGCTCACCCATTTTCTATGGGCTTCTAGAGACCTTTCAGAATGCTGCTGACTGGTCCTCTCTGTTGGTGCTCATTATGTGAACCATGCCCTCTTGTGGCTTAGTAATTCTCGTGTCTCCCTCTGACCTCTTTTTATGATATACTTGGCATTGTCTGTATGTCATTAATTCTCATCTCCTCTTGAAATCTCCTCTTCTTCCCAATTCATTCAATCCCATTTGCCCTTTCTTCGTGATTACTGTAGACTCCATGTTCATTTGCCAAGCAGAACCTCTGACTTCTTCTCCCTTGTAATGTTCACATTGGGCCTGCCTTTGCACCACAGCTCAGAACTTTACTTACTATTTCTCCCTTCAACTTTTAATAGCAATTTTTAAATTAATCTGTCTGGCTCTAGTATCTTGCCAAAACTCCCTTAAATATTTCCCTAAATACTATTTTTTAGCATTTGAGATACCTGTTTAAAAACTTTTAATAGCTAGGCTAAATAACCTGTAGCCTTTTATAGTCTTTGGGTCAAGATATGTCCACAGCTCATCTTTTCCAGCGTGCGTGGGAGCTCGGTCTGAAGAGAGATTAAGTGATAGCCTGTTTATGGATCCTGAAGAATTCTTCAGAAATCCATGTATAACTCAGGTGCCTGCCTGCTAATGATAAACAGTATGTATAATTTTTGTTTTGAAAAGTTTAAATAAACTTAGTTTTTTCTTTTTCTCATTCTGGGAAGAGTTTTGATGATGGAGACTATTTTCCTGTGTGGGGCACATGCCTTGGCTTTGAAGAGCTTTCATTACTGATTGCTGAAAAGTGCTTATTAACTCTCACAGATACCATTGGGATCAAAATGCCTCTGAACTTCACTGGAGGTAAGTCTTTCAATCCTTTTAAAGGTATTTACTGAGCAGAATTAGTAAGTGGCAAATATCAAAAAATGCTTATAACATTAATTTTTAGATAGTTTTCATAGGCTGAAGCTGTGAGTGACCACCCTTGTACTCATTTATGAAGCTGACATAAGGCATTTTGAATTTTGGTAACTCATTGCTTCTGGTGATAGCAGGACCATGTGTGATTAAGAATTCTGAAACTGGACCTGGTTTTAAGTCCTAGCTTTCTCACTTTGGCCATGGAATCATTTAACCTCTCTCAGCTTCAATTTCCTTGTCTGCAAGAGGGTCTGTCTCATAGAGTTTCTTGTCAGAATTGAATAAGATGATGTTTTACAGGCACTGTGCTCAGTACTTTTAACACAACTCTTATAAATGTTAGCTATTATTATTATGATGATGATGATGATGATGATGTCAACATTTTCCCCTTGACTGTGTACTCTGTTTTAACTCCAACTGAGTGCAATTTAATTCTGACACTAATCACCTAGAATTAAAGGTCATGGCCCCCAACAAGACTGCCGTATTTCAGATGCCAGCCACAGGTCACATCCCCAGACCATTCACACTTCTTACCAACTGCTACAAATGACTCACAGAACACAGAAAAGTACTGTATTTGCTCACCAACCAGGGACTCCAGTGGCCTTTGGTGTCCAGGGTTTTTATTAAAGTTTTATTACAAAAGCATGACTGATCAAATCACTGGCCAAATGATTGAACTCTATCTTCAGCCCCTCTTCTCTCCTTGGAGTTTGGGCTGCTCAAAGTTCCGACCTTCTAATCATGCAGTTAGCATTTCTGGTGATCAGCCCCATCCTGAAATAATCCAGGGGCCCACCTTGAGTCACCTCATTAGCATCACAAAGACACTGTTATTACTCAGGAAATTCTAGGAGTTTTAGAAGCTCAGGGTCAGGAACCCAGGACAAAAACCGGACAGATTCTTTATTATACTACTCTGTATAAGTAGATAATGATTTTTGTAGGTTACTAATCTTTGAATCCTCAGAATTGAATGCTACCAACTATTCCTCTTCTCATGAGGATTTTTGAAGGAAAGTAGTAGTAGTCGTACATAGAACATAGTCGTACATAGAACTTATAGAATGCTTTATACTTTACTATTGTCTCACTTAAACATTGCAGGAACCCTGTGGGAAGTATATGTATTAGGTCAGACTACTTTGGTCCTGTGTTGCAAAAACCCAGTTTGTACAGAAAAGGAATGTTTCAAGGTACTGGGGTTCTCATGGAAGCTGTTAGCAAGAATGAGGGGCCTGGTTTGGAACAGCTAATATCAGAGCCTTGAACACATCAGGATTTTTTTTTTTCTCTTTGTTGGTGTTTGACTCTGTGCATCTGACTGCAGACCCTTCAGTATTGACCACTAAGATATATTGCTTTTTTGATTTGTTTACTAAGTAGAAATTTTTTGGCTTAGTTAATGTTCCATTGTAAATGATTGATATTTTTAACCTTTTAAGTCCCAGATACCTTTGAAAATACATTGAAAGTTCTGGATTCTTTCCTGGGGAAACAATATATACACATGTGGAAATTTTTCACCTTTTTTTTCAGCTCTGAAAAGTATAACAAGGTTTTAGAGGAATTAAAGGAGAATATCATCTCATGTAAGGTAGGGAGTTTTGCAGATAAAAATGAAACACAAACCATGAAGGAAAAGATTGGTAAATTCAGCCAAATTAAGAAGTTATGTTCTTTTTTTTTTTTTTTCGTTTTTTTTTTCTGAGACAAGAGTCTCACTCTGTTGCCCCCGCTAGAGTGCTGTGGCACTCCAATATAGACTGCTTATTCCATGGGTAGCCTTGCTAATTCTCATATCAGAAGAATTTTACTTATTCATGTTAAAATTCTACGAGAAAAGTACTTAAGTCTGGAACATACTTGAATTTACATTAAACACATTTTGTGCTAGATTTGAAAATGGTGTGTTTTGCTTGTCATTTGGTCACCTTGATTACGTCTTAATCATTAAGCCTCTCTTTGGCTGCAGATAAGCTACTTCAGTGGATTTTATTTTTTATGTGTTTATTTCTCTTGTGCTTAAATTATCTCAGGTTCATTGCATAGCAGAATGTTCCAGAATTTTCCTCCTGACTTGTTGTTGTCATTAGCAGCAGAACCTCTGACTGCAAATTTCCACAAGTGGAGCCTCTCCATGGAGGTATCAGGTTAATTATGCAATGAAATTAATGTCATTTAGAATCACTACAGAAGTAATCATTTTGTTTTATTTTTATACTCTAGAATTTTACGATGAATGAAAACTTAAAGAAATTTTTCAATGTATTAACTACAAATACGGATGGCAAGATTGAGTTTATCTCAACAATGGAAGGTATATATCACTATAGCATGTATACTTTATTTCACTCATTAATTTTATATTTATTAATTTTGATTTATATGGATTTTTTGTTATGAATAAAATCATGTTACTTTGGGGCCTGAAGATGGAAGTTAGGGCATTTTTGGAGACAGGAGACATGTTTATCCATGTTCCAAATCAATTGCAATTTACCTGGGTATTTTCTAGAATGGAGTGAAGAATAAGAAAAGTGAAGAGGAAGGAGGGAGGGGATAAAGAAATAAATGAAGAAAGTGACTTCTGTTTTTAGCAATATTGCTGATTAAGTACCTTGACACACTGTCCCCCAGACAAGAACACAAAATGTGGTTGATATAGAAAAACATCTTAAATACATTGATGAAGGGCAAGAAAATAAGGATACTTGGGCTCAAAACTTCAAGATTTGAGTGGAGTATTTAAACCAGCATTATTATTGAATTAGGAGAACTTGAAACAAAGCTCAGGACCCCTCTACCTGGATAGTACTTCATGGATCAGGACCTGAAAGGCTATACCTGCAATATAAGGGCGAACTCAGAATACACCGGGAATCCTGCCTGCAGAATTGCAGGCAGAATTATCCATCTTGAATCTTGGCACTAAGGGAGTAGGGCGACACAGTGAATAAGCTTTGAGTATTCATAAGCACAAACTGGTTTTCCTAGTGTGGCCTGCATTATACTAAGTGGGAAGTTGGAAAATCTCAGGTCAAGAATTTTGTTCAAAATTGTCTTAGACTAGTAATACCCATACATGCATTGTAGAAGCAAATATAAATAATTCTCTTGGGAGGACCAGATGTTCATCTCAGGCCTCAAGGAATTTCTATATATAAGGTTTGAAGGAAAATGAACAATTCACAGCCAAAAGATCACTAATGTACAAGGAAGCAAAGTACCATGAATAAGAACTTGCAGAAACAACAGATGCAGAAGCAAACCTGATTAGAATTATGAGATACAGTATAACATAACTCTTAAAGAAATAAGGGCCACTTGAAAATATAAGTATGAAATAGTCAGATTTAAAATGAACCAGATTCTGCTATTAGAAGTGAAAATGTAATCGAAATAAAAATCTCAGATGCATTAATCAGAAAGTTAGACACAAAAATTAATGAACTAGAATAGAAGGTAGATCTGAAGGAAACATTGAGAATCCAATATAGACAGAAATATAAAATGTGTTGAAAGAAAGGTTGGAACCTGGTGGGTAGAGTGAGGAGTTCTAACATACCTAACCAGAACTCTGGAAGGAAAAAGAGAAAGTGGGATAGAGATTGACTCTGTTTCCATATAAAAAAATTAATTTCAGGTGGATGAAAGACCTAAGTGGAAAGGAAAAGTATAACAAGGTTTTAGAGGAATTAAAGGAGAATATCATCTCATTTAAGGTAGGGAGTTTTGCAGATAAAAATGAAACACAAACCATGAAGGAAAAGATTGGTAAATTCAGCCAAATTAAGAAGTTATGTTCTTTTTTTTTTTTTTTCGTTTTTTTTTTCTGAGACAAGAGTCTCACTCTGTTGCCCCCGCT